GACAGCAGCTTTGTGCCCCGCCAGCTTCTTGTTCCATGCCTACCATGGTGTTTTTGTACAGACAGCACTTCAGACAGCAAGTATGCTGTAGTCGGCAATCATTCGTTTTGGTACAGAGTGGGACAGGTAGGGGGTGATGTTGCTGTAGTCGAACGGTGAGACGGACGTGTAGTTCAGTTTTGGGCACGCGTACGGTGCTGCAGGGATTATATATAGGTGTAGTAGTACCTCTTCGGGCTCTTGGATACCTTTTTCTTGCTACGTGTGCGTGTTCTTTAGATCCTCAGATAGATGGCTCTAGCACTTTCGTGACCACGGGCTGAGAGTCTTTTCTAGATTTTGGCATTCAGCAACTGGCATACGGTTTAATGTGAAGTCAACAACAAAGCAGCAGCCCGTTGGATCCGGGATGCGCGTGCCTCCCAAACTCCAAGGACAGAGTGATCAAGAATGCATCAGGTGCGGGTGGGGGAAACATAAAGCCGGAAATCTCAAGCCGCATGGGTCGTACGACTTCAAGAGTGGCATCGGTGGGGGGAGAAAGGATTGGACGCACTACAAGACCCGTGGGGCGTTTACGACCTGCCTTCACGAAGAGTAAGAAGCTTGCGGCGGACATGAGGAAGATAGGGAGAGGACTACTACTGCTGTGCGGCTGGGTATTTTGTTAGCAACAAGCGGAAGGCTTTGGGTGATATGGTGCGCTTTTGCTTCTGCTTTATAGTTTGCATGCGCGAGTACTACGACCTGTTTTCTCTTCCTTACAAGTCTACATTTCCCAATCAAGTACACTTACTACTTGTTTTTTTTTCTTGCTTCTATTTTTCACGTGTTCATCAGCGCCCGTGCCCCGGACTCGTCTTGACACCTGCACATTACATAACCTCTCGTTCAGGCACCGAACCCATACGTAAAGCAATGTTTTGTAGGGCCGGAAAAATCAACAAGAAATCATGCGGGTTTTAGAGGGTAGAGCTAAATCGATACCCATCCTCCCACCAGTCACCTGTCGATTTTGTAGGACTTTTTGTTCATACAACAGATACAGATGCTTGGCTGATGGCAACGCCGCCGAGCGGGAATCCCCCGAAAGAACGACGCAGCAGAGCAGCAAGCAGCACGCACACACGTAGATAACTCACGAGACAATCAGAACAGCAAGGGAGCCAAAAGCACACATCACACTGGTCGCTCCGGTGGTCTAGTGGATTGTTTCACAGCCTTCTACGGGCCGGTCATGGGTTCGAGTCACGGTAGAGTAAGTTTTTTTCTCACTAAGTAAATCCTGGTCTACGATGAAAGCGGCGCTGTAAAGCTCGTTGTTAGGCCGATGTTTATGGTCACCAAATCTTTGAAAAAATGTCTAAATTTTCAAATATTTGCGGATAAAGATTTTGTTTCACTTTTTATGGGAGTAAATCTTCGGCAAAATATCCTCAAAGATTTTGAAATGGGGCAAAAGTCGCTCGGTTGACAAAATGTTTGACAAACATTTTGAAATGGGGCAGGTCGCGAAAATGTTTGGGCGGCGGAAAAGGCAAGTAGCGCCGCGTTTTCGGCACATACGCCGCCAACACACACAAACACCCCCAACAACACAAGAACACACGAACACATCTACACACACACTCACGAGAAGGCCGCGCCGACGAGAAGGCCACGCCCAACATGGACGAGGAGTCCATAATGGCCGGGGCTGCTGCCGCAGCATCGAGTTTGCAGAACATTATGCACACGTTCGACTCCGATGGTGAGCATGATGACCAAGAACCGGGTGGTTTGTTCGGCGATCTGCGGGTGGAGGAGGAGGAGGAGGAGCAGCGCGAGAAGCACATCCGGCGCTCCTACCCTCGCCCGGAATACTGGCGGTCAACCTGGGGGAAGTGGGTACTGAAGCTGCGAGAGCTGAATGCTGCGGAGGAGGGGCTGGACCCGGAATGTCGAGAAGCTGTGCAGTTTGCCGGCACCTTCCGCATCCCTTTCGTGTTGTTCGAGAGCATCATGCAGACGGTCACCTCCATCTTCCAGTCTTCAGCCAGAGACGTCGCGGGCAGGGATTGCCCACCCGTGGAACTCAAGGTGTGTAGGCTGAATTAAGCTGCTGTTGAAGCGAAGTCTGTATGCCGCTCGGTGAGAAGCTGCAGCGCGCTGTTGTATTTTGGTCGAGAAGTTCACAACCACCGCCCGCTGTATTTTTTACTCCAAGTGCACGTCAGCGCTGCTGGACAATCGGTGCCCTCTGTCTAGAGGAACAGACCAATGTGTATACTGTTACAAGTACTGCTGAACTTGTACCTAAGCTCACGGGGTGTTACACCCTCGAAGTAGCACGCCCTCGAAGTAGCACACGTGCGCGGAGTTGAGCAGTAAGCAAAGATCGCAAAAAGGGTACGTACTCTGCTGCTGCGTGCACAAACGAACCGCGTCGTGTCCGTAGAGAGGACACTAGTTTGCAATTTTTGACCAGATGCTGTAGATGATAAAGAAGCGCACTCCCTCTCCAACTACGTCTGCACGGCGCTGCTGGCCGAGGTGTCACACTCGGTGTCGACACTCTCGAAAAGTAGCCCGTGCAAGTATGATGGAAGCAGCAGTACTACATTCAACAATGCCGATGGATGTGCGAGGGATTGCACGTTGTGTTCGTTCCATGAGCGAGTCACAGCTTGGTAGAAGAGTATGCATTTCCTTCGCATGGCAGGTGTGTGACGCCCTCGAGGTAACACACGTGCGCGGAGCTGCAGCAGCAAGCCAATACCGTCAAAATGGTACGCACTCTGCTGCAAAAATCCTCAACACACCGACACACCCCTACTGCTGTACTTGCCCACTCGTCGTCTCCCGCAAAGCTCTGCAACTCTCTCGATGATACAAGAGCATACATTCGAGCCACAGCTTGGTAAAAGAGTAAACATTCCCTTCGCATGACAGCTTACAACCCCCCGCCGCCGCCGCCGCCCCCCCCGCCGCCGCCGCCCGCCGTTGTGTGTGCCCCCTGTACTGCTGTATCATTCATAGGTGATGGGTACTTTGAAGGTGTTGGCGTCGGGATGCTGCTTCCAGGACGTCGCTTCCTTCTCTCTGATGAGCCGCACGACCGCAGAGACTTCTTTCCACCATTTCTGCGAGAAGTTTTCCGAGGGCCTCTGGGACACTTGGGTGAAACTCCCGGGCGGGGATGAATTCAAGAAGGTCGAGGAGATCTACCGCAAGTGTGGTTACCCGGGGGCGAGGTGATCTACGGACTGCACCCACTTCTGTTGGCCGGGCTGCCCGTTCTCCGTTAAGAACACCCACACCGGCAAGGAGAGCTACACGTCGCTGGTGGTGGAGTGCACGTGCGACCATTCTGGCCGCATCATCGCGGCAACCAAGACTTACCCGGGAGCCGAGAACGACAAGACGGTCATCGCACGGGACAAGTCCATCTGGCGAATACGAGATGAGGAGCCGTGGAAGAGCTATGATACAAGTTCAAGCTCTACAACGCCGACGGCACAGAGACGGAGTACACAGGGGCGTGGATCATCGTGGACGGGGGGTACCCGAAGGTTAGTTTCGGTTGTTGGTTGTTGACCACTTTTTTGTTGTTGGTGTGGGTGGGCGTGACTAGCCTGGCCGGTACATTTTTGATATACCCCCGCCCACAGAAGCGTCATGTTTGTAAGTGCGAAAACCTCTGGCGAAACCCCGTCGCGTTCGGTCCTTGCTTTTTCTGTTGCTCCGTTCATGGTGGGGAACCCGTGTGTATTATTCCCCTCCGGGATCAGTTCACACCAGACAAGAACGTTGCCGTACTCTACTTAGTACGTGTACCCGTACCACTTCGTGTTTTGCATTCCCGTCCATCCTAGCTGTTTGTTATTTCTGGCTTGGGATGGGAGCGTCTATTTATGTAGTTGTCAAGGAATTATTTCTTGGCACGCCTTGCCCCTTTGCGCAGTCCTTGGAGACAGATCACGTTGTTTCGACACAAGTTCGCATTAAACCAACACCCGATAGTCATTTTCGGTCTGCCGTATCACAGATCCCGCTTCTGATCCCACCGATCAAGACGCACAACACCGTCGAGGAGCACGATTGGAGCAGGCGGTTGGAGAGCATGCGCAAGGACATCGAGTGTTGCTTCGGCAGAGTCAAGGGGCGCTGGAGGCTTTTCGGTGGTGACATGTTGTTCTCCACACGACAGAAGGTTGACAACGCGTGGTTCACCGCGTGCATCCTCCACAACATGCTCCACAGCTTCAACCGCCTCGACGAGATGGAGGAGGACGGCGTTTGGGTGGGGTCGGCAGGGAGGTTGGGGGAGGCGACGGCAGTGGCGGCGGCCATGGACGTGGACGAGGAAAGCGAGACTCCGACTCCCGGCCTCGAAGAGTTTCGCAGGGAGCTCATCGCGCACTTCACGTGCGCGTGGGAGAAAAAGGAGATTTTGTGGTTTAAGAGGGCGGAGGTTTAGAATCTACGTGGTAAATGTAGTCGGTAAGGTATGGGGGGGGGGGTTGTCTTGTTTTTTTTGGCGTGTATGGGCGAACCATATAGTGTATCTCTGTGTTGTGTGTTTCTCTTTGTCGTGCGTCCGATAGGGTGAGGGCGTGATTGCGTCTGTCACTTATATTAGCGGCATGTGGCGATCTTCTTTTGGTGTTCAGACGACGTTCTTTGTCTGAGCTCCAGCGGTATCAGGGTAAGGGTAAGCGTTAGGTCCCGCGTGGTGTTTGATTTTGGGTTGGGACACCCACCACGCCACCTGCGTCCCTCAGCTTCGTTTGACGATCATTTTGCTGTCGCGCACAGCAGTCACGTAGTCGGACTTTTTTTTCCAACACAGCAGTTGGTTCTCATGGGGGCAGGCTGCCGCGCGTTGCTTTTGTTCTTGTTCTATGTCGAACTACAGCCCGAAATCCGCGAAGGTTCCTGACTTGCTGTTTTTCGTTCAGGCAGTCGTTGCGCTGTGTTTTGTTCTCCATGTAGATTTAGGCGCTTTTATTTTCAAACAGCTTTTCGTTCGGCTTTCTGTCCATAATTCTGCCCTTCATGCATTGGGACATTTTGGGTAGTTTTCCGAGGTTTGCTTTTGATCATGCTGATGAAACAGTGGATTGAGCGGGGGAGCGGCGCTCCTCGGATCGTTGTGCTCGCGGCACAAAGATTGAACAAGTCGCTTTCAACCAAATGGAGTCTGACACTGAAATTTGATATTGGAACTGCCTGTGGCATCCGGAAGCACAAACATGATGGCGTGGAAAGGGTACACCGTACGGTGCACGACGGCAAAGCTATGTGCTTCACCGTAAATTATGACATCGCTCGAGCGGCCGATATATCGGCCCCACTACACGTGTTTTACGAGAAATATGTTTGTTTCTGCCAATTTCACAGATACAGCGCGAATACCGCGTCGTTGCTACCTCACTTTGGTAGACGTCGAAGCTTCCCAGACCCAAATCTTAGCAACCACAATCACGTACGCGCCTGATGTTCCCAAATGTTAGACCCACGTATGAACCACCAGACAAGACGCCTTCGCCCTTCGAATCAGCAGTACAACACTTGCCATTCCAGTAGTAATTATGCAAATACTGCTGCGTATGCACAACCTCGAAAAGGCCATGCCCCCTCTCAAACAAGTGCATCTCCCGGCCAGCTTTTACATGTCACGATGCACCCCCCTCTCACACTCGGCCTTTCGACTCGGTTGATCCTCTCAAACCTTGGACCCATGTTGTCTCCTCCCTGGCAGTTCCATGCCCATAAGCGGTACCCCCCACACAACAAGCTAGTGCCGTGTTTATGCATTCAGATCAACCTTCGAAGATAAACACATGAGCGACCTGGTAAACGACGATGAAAGTCCTCTATTCTTATAGACATGGTGTCATAAGAACCCCCCCCCCAC